ATCCTCTCGAGAAGGCCTCCGACATGATAATAAATAAGATAGGAGAAAGGGGATCTCCCTGCTTTACCCCACGATGGGGCTGAAAGAAACCATGTGTTGCTCCATTAACCATGATAGAAATATAAGTGGTCTGTAGATTCCCCAAAATAAGCTTTCTAAAGTGTTGTCCAAATCCAAATCTGTGAAGAATAGCATCCAAGAAATCCCAAGCAACCCGGTCAAAAGCCTTAGTCATATTAAGCTTAAGTGCTATGTTTGATCCAAACACCTTCCTGTCTAACTGATGTAACACCTCAAACGCTGTAAGCACCTGATATTGAATCTCTTTTCCCTTCATAAAACCCGATTGCTCATTAGAAATGATTTTTGGCAGTAGGACAACCATTCTGGAAGATAAAATTCTAGTGTTAACTTTGCTTAGGAAAGTTGACAGGCATATCGGTCGGAAATCCCCAAATGAAATAGGGTGTTTCTTTTTTGGAATCAACACCATATTCACACTACCCATTCCTTTAGGAATAACAAACCCCAGGAAAAATTTATGGACAGCCAATATCACATCCTTCTTTATAATCTCCCAGCATCCCTTATAAAAAGAACCTCCATAACCATCTGGACCTGGAGCAGCATCCTCATTAAGCCCCCAAATAGCCTCCCTGACTTCCTGTTCGCTAGGCAACATAAGAAGCCTCGCATTATCCTCTTCGTTCACTAAATTGGGAATACAATGTAGCACCCTGTCGTAGGAGCAAGACGACTCAAACTTGTAGAGATTTTCAAAAAATCTGACTGCCTCTTCCCCTATTTCACGAGTAGAGTAAATCCATTCTCCATTAGCTTTTTTGATCGCCCTGATAAATTGCCTTCGTTGTTTGTCCTTCACCAAGGAATGAAAATACTTAGAACTTGCATCTCCGTCCCTGAGCCATCTTACATTTGCCTTTTGTCGCCAATACATATCCCTCTGCTTGACCCTCTTCAGTAGTATCGCTTGTTTAAGATGACAGTTCGCTCTGTTTTCATCTGTTGGATTTTCTTCGAAAGCCTTCTCCGCTAAGATTGCATCCTGCTCCAGCCTTTTTATTTCCCCAAAAATATCACCAAAAGTCTCCTTGTTCCAGATTCTTAAGTCTGCCTTGAGTAAACGTAGCTTTAGACACATACCTCTCATCCCTCCAATCCTTGGATATTCCTCCCATTTCTTTTTCACAAATAAAAGAAAGTCCTCGTTCGTAAACCACATATTTTGGAAGCGGAACTGAGTTGGTCCCCTAGCTGAAGGCAAGTCTCCAATGAGCAGAATGGGGCAGTGGTCAGACAACGCTTTACTAAGATGCTGCACATTTATATTCTCAAAAACATCCATGAAAACTTGATTGACCAGATAGCGGTCTAATTTTTCCCATATCCTCCCGTTAGCTCTGTTGCCCGTCCAAGTATACGAAGAGCCAACTGTTGGTGGTTGCATCAAGTCACATGCATCTATGCATTCCCTGAAATCCATCATATCTCCTAACCTGGGCGCTGAAGGCCCTTTGTATTCATCAACAGAAGCTACTATATTAAAGTCACCACCTAACACCCACGTCTCCCTTTCATTTTGAGCACAACTTCTCAAGCCCTCCCAAAGATGGCCCCTTTCCATCCGCGTGTGCTTACCATACACCGGAGAGAACACAAAATTGAAATCAAGCGGAATGAAACACATTTTAATCACCAAAAATTGGTCTCTGTCCGAAATAGACAGAACGTCAAACATAGACGAATTCCACATAACCCAAATCTTATTGGTCTGTGACATAAACAAATTTGAGAACCCCAAAGAGTTCATATATGAGACACCAGTAGAAGCATTTACCATTGGCTCAATAATCGTAATTAAATTTAAAGAATGCTGCCTAACAAATTGACGTAGTCTTGGGCATGCCGAAGCAAGACCACGTACATTCCAAATGAGCATCTTCATAAGGAAATCTCAAAGGATCCCTCCCTTGTGTTCCTCTTGGCCGCCAACCTAGTTGTGACCGATCGAGGAGGAGCCTCTTTGGTTTTTCTTCTTCCGACCACCCCTAACGCCTCCGCTTGTTCTGCTTCAATCAAGGCCACCTTCTTCATAAGTTCCCCACATACTTTTTTCCACGCATCAGTAGTAACCTCATTTACTTCAACCTGCTCCCCATCCGAAACAATTCCCTCCAACTTAGACATGTCACCCTCCAAATAATCATCCCCTTCCTCAAACGAAATAAGCTTAGTGACATCTGTAGGGTTTCCACCTTCCTCACTTACCACCAGTATCTCGTTGGTTTGCTTCTGCAAATCCCCTTCCACCATCTCCCCCTCTTCCAAATTATCATTGCCTACAATTTTATCTGAGCTATTTTCTGCCACCTTTGAGCCTATCTCCAACACTTTGGAGGTGTGGACCTCCTGGGCCACAGTATGTTCAGACCCAATAGTAATCTGCTCCTCTCCCACTGTATCCTTCCTTGTCTCATTAACCTCTTCCTCTCTAATAATTAGAGTCGTTTCCAGCTCCCGTTTCTTAGAGGGTTCTGCCTTTTCATTTTCTGCCACCAGCTTACCCTTACCTTTATTCTTCCTGGATACCTGGACCCATTCCTCGGACGCTTTGGGTGGATCATTCTTATTCAATAATTGGTTTGCGTTTTTCTGGGCATTAATTTTAATCGCTCCATCCATTATTGGTTTAGGAATCCCACAGTCCTCCTTGGTATGTCCCAATCTACTGCACTTGGTACAATATCTGGGCAATTCCTCATACGTAACTGGTTGGATAATTTCCTTCTTGCCATTCATTATGAGAACTTTCGTTGGAATATCCTTCAGTAAATCCAGCTCTACACACACCTTAGCTGTTGAGGGCCTCGATAAATTTGTTGTTGCCGCATCAACCTTGAGTGGTTTACCGATCATGCCCGCTATTGAAAAAAGAGCTCTCTTGTCTTGAAGGTGCAGCGGCAGCCCCTCCAGTGTAATCCACACTGGAACTATGGGTGACTCAACATCCGGTCGAAAGTCTGGGGTCCACCTTGTTACACGCATGCGAAATCCACGAATACTCCATATCTGCCGGAGCCAACACCGTTGAAAGTCTTCCTCCGCCTCAAATTTGATCAAAACATGCCTTTGATCCAATAACCGTAGCGAGAGGCCTCCTTTAAACCCTATCTTTTGAAATTCTTGTCTCAAAGTTTGCATGGCAGGCCTGCCCCTAACAAACGAACCAACCAAGGCATATTTGTGCTGTGATGCTAGCGTTGCCACCTCCTCCTCCGTAAAAGAAATTGCTGGCATACCACGATGCCTGAATGGCTCCTTCAATGGAAAATCTTTGTTAGCCGCAAGAACCTCTGCAAAAGATCTCATCGCTGCCCCCGGCCTCCCTGCCGGAGCAGCCCAAGCCGTCGCCTCTACCATGAAACGCTAAGTCGCCAGAGCCGCTAGGGTTTTTCACCAAATATATGATACACATACACATACATACATACATACATACATACATACATACATACATACATACATACATACATACATACATATATATATATATATATATATATATATATATATATAATTGAATACTATTAAGTAACCAACATTTGAAACATTTTTATTTATATATCAAATTCTCACAGAATGTACATACTACATAATTCGTAGGGGCATACCCCGAACCAATAATAAATAATAAAAAATAACAAAAAGCTAACTAGTCTAACTAGAAGGCTGAAAGAACTTCTAATCCTCGGTCTGCTATTACATTTCTTGCCTGTTCATAAAGTTTTTGTGCTTTGAAACAAGCTATCTTCATCCTCCATTCCTTGTTCATCAGCTCCTGTCTTAATCCTTGGCCTCTTCAACTTCTTGTAAAAGAGGGAAAGAACTTCTAATCCTCAGTCTCCTATTACATTTCTTGCCTGTTCATAAAGTTTTTGTGCTTTGAAAGTCATTTACAAAAATGGGAGGGAGGACCGAGCAGTTCCTGTGATCGTAAATTTGTAACATACCCTAAGACTTTTTAGAAGGAAATCACAAATAGTATACACTTAAAAACATAAAGATGGCTATGTGCATGGACAGTTTGCGACTATAAAATTCAATTCAAGTTAAGGAAAAAATATAAGCATTTCAAAAGTATTTTGATTAAGATAAGCATACCCTTTATAGAAAAAAATTATAGAGAGCAGACTTCAATAGAGAACAGTTGTCGTATAACAAGAGGAAAGACAAACACACATAAAATAACCAAGTTGCATTTAATAGACACAAAGCCAAGATTCAAACTAACCTCTAAAATTTCCAAATTCACACGCTTTTCCAGTAAGGTGCAGTGACCTTGAGTGTCAAGTAGTGCTATAGAAGATCCAACTTTCTAAGACGGGAACAGATAGGGAAGAGAATTGGGATTTCATTTATTCCCAAATATGTCAGCCCGAGAGAACACAGCCTGGGAGGAACCGTGATATCAGCATAAACGTACACCCGTTCAAAATCATGCCCACAGAATAAGTTCAAACCATATAGACTCACATATGCTAGTAAATGATAACTAAATTATAAAATATCAATTCAATGTCACAGTGCATAAAAGGGTAATATAGTAATAGAATTATTAGAGGCTTAGTATTGTACTTTACATTAAACTCTCTCTAATATAAATATATCTGTCAGGGCTCCTCAGGGAGTAACCTTTCCCATTATTCTCACATGGTATCAAGAGCTAGTTAAATTTCTCTCTCTCTCTCTCTCTCTCTCTCTCTCTCTCTCTCTCTCTCTCTACCCGATCAGCGCCGCGCAAACCCTAGCGCCGCCGCCCATCACTGCCGCGCAACCCTAGCGCCGCCTCTCTCCCTGCCGCGAAACCCTAGCGTCGCCGCACTCCAGATGTCGACGGCAGCTTCTGCAGCGAACAACACCGGTCCATCCTCGGCCCAGCATCTCTCTCCTGCCGTGGCCACCATGCCGCCATCAACCGGTGTTCCCCCTACCTCCTCTACCGGTGTGACATTCTCCTCCAATTATGCATCACCAAGCCGGACATCTTTGCCATATTCTTTGTTTCCGAATATTCCACAGATGTTTCCATGGTCGACTCCGGTCCCTGTGCAGCCCATACCTCTGGAACCGCCACCCTTCTCGGCTGGATCATCGTTTGCCGGTCCCACTTTTGTCGGCTCACCTGGTGTCTCCTCTGTCATCCCTCCCTCTCGCACACCAGCAGCCAGCCCGACTGGTTCACTCCTCACAGATCTCGCCCAGAGTATCTCTCATGTGGCAACTAATGTCACAAATATTGTAACTACCAAATTATTAGCGGTGGAAAACTACACTACCTGGCGCACACAGTTCGAATCGTTTTTGGTGTCCCAAGCTCTCCTTGGCATGGCTGATGGCTCCATTCAGGTACCACCTGCTTATTCCATAGATGCTCTTAACTCCCAATCCCGAATTTTCTACTTGGTTAAGAATTGATCAAACCAGCCGTTCATGGTTATTTGCAACCCTATCTAGGGATGTTCTTATCGATGTACGTGATTTAAAACATTCATATGAAATTTGGGAGCGGTTGGAGTCTCGGTTTATGTCTGCCAGTTTAGCGAGATCTATGGAATTAAAGCGTTTATTTAATCAAATTAAAAAGAAACCTGATCAGTCCATGGATAATTATTTGCGAGAAATTAAAACATTAGCTGATGATCTTGCCACAATCAATTGCCCTGTCCCTCGGCGTGAAATTTTAAAAACTACTATTATGGGACTAGGACCTGAGTATGAATCTTTATTCACTGATGTGTCCTTATTTGGACAAAATTTCCCGTTTGAGACTCTCCGTAATCATCTTCTTGAGTTAGAGCAGCGAGTCCTTTATCTCCGCTCCCAGGAGTCCCAATCCCTTCATCAGGCGTTTGGCGCGGCTGTTTCGTCTCCCAGGTAGTCGTCTGGGCAACAGCCGACTCAGCAGAATTCCGGATCCACTTACCCGGTCGGGCAGCAGGCTTACCCGGTCGGGCACCCTCGGCAGAACGGCGCTCCGCAACGCGGGCGAGGACGTGGGCGCGGCAGAGGCCGCGGAGGCAGGGGGCGTGGCCGAGGACAGCAGCAGCAGGCATATTGGTTCCCCCAGGGGCAGCCAGTTTATTACCCCGGAGGGGGTGGGCAGCCGAGTACACCTGCAGGGGGTGTGACATCTACGGGTACTGTTATTTGTAATTCTGCTGTGTCACATTTAAATATTAATGCTTTACCTATCTGTGTTACTAACCGTAGTCATACAGGCTTGCCATCAGACGGGGGTATTCTCGGATCTGTTCCCCATCCTGTTGTCTGTCAAATTTGTTTTTCTGCAGGTCATTCTGCCATTAACTGTCCTTCTCGTTTCACACAACCGACGTCTCCTGCTCTGTTGACTACTCCCGGTGACACTACTCCTGCTCTATGGTTTCCTGATTCAGGAGCTTCTACTCATATGACTGCATCTGAAGGTAATTTAGTTAATAAATCTCCCTACACCGGCTATAATTCTGTTAGTGTTGCCAATGGTGCCCATCTTCCCATATGTAATGTTGGTGATGTTGCTTTACCTACATCTGGTCGTCCTCTCACTTTAAAATCTGTTTATCATGTGCCTCAGTTAAAATATAATTTAATTTCCATTAAAAGGCTCTGTGCTGATAATAATTGTACTGTAATTTTTTATAAAAATTCTTTTTTGATTAAGGACAAAGCGACGGGGGAAATACTTCTGCGAGCTACTAGTAGTGGGCCACTTTATCCTCTTCATCTGCCGTCATCATCACCATTAGTTTTTGCTTCCGTTTTAGCTTCTGGCCCTGTGTGGCACCGTGTAGATTAGGTCACTGTGGTGATAGTACTTTAAAGTTTCTTAAGAGAAAACAATTTTTATGTAGTCATACTCCCTTTACTCATGAGTGTGTGGCTTGTCGCTTAGGAAAATCACAACGTTTGCCTTTTATGGATGCTAGTCATAATTCTGTTTTTCCATTGGAAATTATTCATTCTGATGTATGGCAGTCACCTGTGTATTCAAATTTGGGATTTAAGTATTATGTATGTTTCATTGGTGATTTTTCTCGTTATACCTGGATATATCCCATGTGTCACAAAAATGAAGTTTTCATGCACTTTAAAAATTTTAAAGCTTTGGTTGAAAATCTTTTTAATCAGAAAATTAAAAATTTTCAAAGTGATGGGGGAGGTGAATTTGTTAATAATAATATGCAGCAATTTTTTTCTGCTAATGGCATTTATTTTAGAAAATCTTGTCCTGATACCCCTCAACAGAATGGGGTTGCTGAGCGCAAGCATCGTCATTTACTTGAGTTAACTAGGACCATGATTCTTGAAGCTTCGATTCCGAGTCATTATTGGGTCGATGCCATATTCACTGCTGCATATATTATAAATAGATTACCCTCTCCTACCTTAAATGGTCTTACTCCATACCAAAAACTTTTTAACCGTGTTCCAGATTACTCCTTTATGCGAGTATTTGGTTCTGCCTGTTATCCAAATTTTAATGCCAGCTCAGCCAATAAATTATCACCTCGTTCAGTTCAGTGTGTTTTCCTTGGCTATGCATCTGGTTATAAAGGCTATCGTTGTTTGGATCCTCTCACATGTCGAGTCTATGTTACCGTCATGTTAGGTTTCATGAGGACACATATCCTTTTAAAACTCTCTCATCTGCTCCATCCAATTCTATTTCTACTACACCATCTCCTATGCATCTCACCGATATCACTCTTGACCCACTTGTCCAGTCTGTTCCCACAATTACGGCCGCACCACCATCACCCCCCCCCCCCCCATCGCCACCTCGGTCACCAAGTATTCCTATCACTCCGTGTGTCCCATCGCCCCATCCCTCCTTCCCCACGTCCACAACCAGCCCCCCACCATCACCTGTCTCCTCCCATACTTCGTCTAGCACGCCACAGACAACCTCAACCGACACTGTCTCACCTGAAACCACCTCACCTACGTCCACTCCGGTAGTTAATCACCATCCCATGCAAACCCGTGCTAAGTCAGGAATTTTTAAGCCTAAAACCATTTTTAATTTAAGTACAGTTACTATCACTGCAGATCCTACCTGTTTTACTGAGGCAAATAAACAATTAAAATGGTGTGAGGCGATGGCTGATGAATTTAATGCACTCATTAATAATAATACGTGGGACTTGGTGCCCTTTGATAACTCTAAAAATATTGTTGGATGTAAGTGGATTTATAAAACTAAATATCATTCTGATGGATCCTTGGAGCGCCATAAAGCTCGATTAGTTGCACAGGGTTTTAATCAACAGGCGGGTATTGATTTTTCTGAAACTTTTAGTCCTGTCGTAAAACCAACCACTGTTCGTATTGTACTTACTCTAGCTATTTCTTTTGGGTGGGGTATACGACAACTTGATGTTAAAAATGCCTTCTTACATGGTAATCTGACAGAAGAAGTTTATATGCGTCAGCCCCGTGGTTTTATTCATCCTCAATTTCCTAATCATATATGTCGTCTGCGCAAGGCCATTTATTGCCTTAAGCAAGCTCCACGGGCCTGGTTTCATAGATTTAGTGGCTTTCTTCTACAACATAATTTTTCCTGTAGCAAATCTGACAATTCTTTGTTCATATACCACCAGAATAATACTATTATTTATTTATTACTATATGTGGATGATATTATTATTACTGGCAATTCTGACTTATCTGTTACCCAATTTATTTCAATTATCTCTAAACATTTTGCTATGAAAGACTTGGGTAATCTCCATTATTTTCTGGGTGTTGAGGCCATTCGTTCAGCTAAAGGTATGTTTCTCTCTCAACATAAATATGTTACTGACCTTCTAGCTCGTTTTCACCTTCATACTGTCAAACCTGTTCGCACCCCGTTAGCTTCCCGTACCACTCTGTCTCTTTCTGATGGTGAGTTATTGTCTGATTCTACTGAGTATCGCAGCATGGTTGGTGCATTACAATATTTAACTTTGACACGGCCAGATATTACTTATGCAGTACACTTAGTGTCTCTGTTCATGCATGCTCCTCGTACCACTCATCTTTTTGCAGTCAAGAGAATTTTCAGGTACTTGCAGGGAACACGAGATCATGGACTTTGGCTTCAGCAGTCTAATCGGCCAATCTGTGTAGTTGCATACTCCGATGCAGATTGGGCAGGTTGTCCTGATAGTTCTCGGTCCACCACATGTTTTGCTGTATTTTTGGGTCCTAATTTGGTTTCTTGGAAGGCTAAGAAGCAGCCCACTGTGTCCAAGTCATCCACAGAAGCGGAATATCGTGTCATTGCTTACACAGTACAAGACACACTACATATCCGCTCAGTACTGTTCGAACTTGGATGGCCTATCTCAGAGCTGGTACATTTATTATGTGATAATATATCTGCTTCTTATTTGACTGCAAATCCAGTTCAGCATGCTCGCAGTAAACATATTCAGATTGATTATCATTTTGTTCGCGAACGGGTTGCTCATGGAGATCTGATTGTTCAACATGTTCCTACTCATCTACAGCTGGCAGATATTTTTACTAAAAGTCTCTCTAGTCAACGTTTTCATTTTTTGAAAGACAACCTGCACGTTGTATCTCCCGCACAGTTTGAGGGGGTGTAATAGAATTATTAGAGGCTTAGTATTGTACTTTACATTAAACTCTCTCTAATATAAATATATCTGACAGGGCTCCTCAGGGAGTAACCTTTCCCATTATTCTCACATATAGTTTACCTTTCACATGCTATCATTATATGCATTAAAATACCACAACTATGCTAGACACTTACCTATATTGACATATCACAAAACTAGTATAGTACCCGTGCGATGCACGGGATACTAAACATCACGGTTGTTCTACAAAAATTAATTAAAATAAAGGATCTGTATAAAATACGGAGTAACATATTACCTCTTTCTCACATTGATTTGTAATTATTTTTTTGTGAAACAACTTTATGTTATTCATTAAAATTATATTCTAATTTGGAGTTTGCAATTTTGAAGAAATTTTAATATACTTTTTGAATATGTAAATTGTATTTATTAAAAATTGAACTAAATATCAATAATTAAAAGTTGTTACATCATTGGGCAATTGAAAGAAATGTGATCAATGTACTTTTTAATGAATGTCAAAAAATGAATGGTACATATTGCTCCAGCCAAAATGAAAAATGAAATTCAGAGCAGCAATTATGTTGTGTTATTGTCATATGTCATGATATATCTCAATTCATATTATATTATAGTTGAAATTGTCACGTGTAGGATATTTATGAGCCAAAATCGTTGTTTTTATAATCACAATTATTTCAAATTTGGGTTCATAGCAATCACTACACATTATAACTGCATGGGTTAAACTCAACTTTACGTTAAACACATAAGTACTCCTCCGTATAATACAGAGTAGTATTTCATAAAAACCAAATAACAAACTGATGGAGTATATGGCCCGGGAACACCCGACCCACAGACTCCTACTACTCCAGTGGAGGCCCAACAGGCCCAGAAGGCCCAACAGGCCCAGAAGGCCCAACAGGCCCAAATCACGGCGCCCAGAGTACCAAGCAGCCCGCAATACGCACCAGGGGTGCCTTCGGCCCCCCTGGCCGAAGGCTCCGAACTATCACAGCGTGGATATTTCGAGCAAACAGAGGAACTGGGAGAAAACGGCGAAAACAGTAGCCCTCGGCATCTGGAGCCCTCGGCACTCAGGGGTCCTCGACACCAAGGGCCCTCGGCTAGTCCTCTGCAGCCGAGGGCACCCCTCCCGACATGATATCCGCCTCACATGCGTACAGATCACCGTACCCTGTACCGACGTCCCATCCAACAGCCGCATTTAATGCGGCCACATGCGGCTGCCAACGCCAACCAGTTGAGGTGACCTCTCGGCCAATGGGCGCTTGACACGTGTCCCTGTCCGGCATTTATTGCTACTATAAATAGCACCCCATTTCCCCGTTTGTAACCACGCTGAAAACGCTCCACATTTATAATACACTCTCTCTCTCTCTACATTTACTTGCTCTGACTTCTCTCTAAGTTATTCTCTGCAATAACCCCTCGGATATATACCCCCGGGTAGACTATCCATCACAAACATTGCACTCTCTGTTGGAAAACAATAAAAGGGGCCTAATATGTAATTAATTAAAATGTGTTTACCATCAGATAAATAATAAAGTGGCTATTCATGAAATAATAAAAGTGTAGATACCAGGATAATATATTTCTTTTGGTGACGGGTCAAATAAATATATTACACTAAAGTGATACAATGGTTATGACCCCTGGTGCGTGTAAATTAAGAGATAACAGTAAATATATTGTAATGGAAAATGGCCTAATAAATTGTTCTAAATATTACCATAATTGTTGTAATAATTAAGGAGTTATTAGAATATTAAGGGGTCAACCGTTACAACATTAAACTAGTCCTATAAACATCCCATCTATTGTGTGGGACTAGAGTACATCTCATACGGTACATAGCACTGGAAGGTTAGGCCGATCAATCGTGTTGGATTCCTAAGTCTTCCGAAAGTGTTAATGCAAATGAATTCTCAAGGTATTGTTCTAATCTTATTTCATACATATTTGATTTCATGGATTTATATGGATTTAGCTATTACATATTTATATATATATCGCATATGGAGTTTTGTTGATATATGTATGAATATCCATCAATTGGTATGAGAGACTACCATTATAGATCCATAGAATTTTTATTTTGAAATCCGAGTTCATTGCTTATTTGATAGTCTGGATTTCGAAAGTTGATCTTCAAAAGTATTTTGTTTAGTCTCGAGTATGTTTATTGAGAAAAGGAACCGTTACATAGCCTGGGAACGCTTATTTGAGATGAATCTTTTTCCTTTCCGCTGCATATTCATTCGTACCGATTCATTCTTCAAGTTTATAATGAAAGTTCACTGCATTAAATTCCTTTGATTGCATATGGCATCATACAACAATATCTTTATTAGGCCATTTTCCATTTTCCATTACAATATCATTACAATAACCCCTTATATATATTTGGTTCCATTTAAAACCTTATTCCACCAAGTGGAATATGTATCAAGTTTAACGTATACGTGATTTTTGGATTATTAATATGTGGATTAAATCCATTTAAAGCTTCTACAATGTGGAATGTTTCTAGCCATATGACAACCGTTAATGCCTCTACATTGAGATAATTAAGGTTTTAAATTGAATTCTCAAGCATACAGTACATT